ATTTTGCCGATACGCAATTGTATAAGGCCACAGAATTCCCATTTTGCCCGCATGAAATCGTAGGAGTACAAGAAAGACGCATTTTAACCCTAAGAAATCGAATGAGGTCAGCAAATACCCATTTTGCCCCAATGAAATCGTATGCGGTCAGAAAACATCCATTTTGCCCCAATGAAATCGTATGAATTCACGAAAAAACCATTTTACTCCCATGAAATCGTATGAGGTCAGAAAATACCCATTTTACCCCCATGAACTAATAGGAGTACACAAAAAATCTATATTGCCCCCATTAAATCGTAGGGGTACAGGAAAGACTCATTTTACCCCTAAGATATCGAATGAGGCCAGTAAATATCCATTTTGTCCCAATGAAATCGTATGCGGTCAGAGAACACCTATTTTGCCCCAATGAGATCGTAGGAGTTCACGAAAAATCCATTTTGCCGCCATGAAATCGTAAAAAATCATAAAATTCCCATTTTGCCATCATGAAATCGTATGAGTTCACGAAAAAACCATTTTACCCCCATGACATCGTATGAGGTCAGAAAATACCCATTCTACCCTCATGAACTCATCGGAGTACACGACAAATCCATTTTGCCCCCACGAAATCGTATGGGGTTAGTAAATACCCATTTTACCCCCATGAACTCATCGTAGTACACGACGAATTCATTTTGCCCCATGAAATCATAGGAGTACAGCAATGATCCATTTTACCCCTAAGAAATCGTATAATTCAATGTTCTTGAGATTTTTCCCTAGTTATTTTCAACTAAAGATTATCTTTAATTTATCTAGACAATTCCTACTTGAAAACCCTTCTTTACCCCGAAGAGCATACATCGTGGCGTCCCTAGCAGATGGCGCCCGCTTCGCATTCTCATTTGACAATTTCGCAGTTTGACAATTTTTCCTTACGTCGTCGCGAAACCACTTTGAGGCGGTTAGAATAAATTTTTTTTCGTATTGATTGTGTGACACAACAAAACACATTACAGATTTTCGTAGAAATCCCGTTGGTTTCTGAGTCATGATAATATTCTTTTTCTAGAATAATTGAAAATTTCGAGGAATACGGCACTTTGGATGATCGTAGAGCTACTCTTCCAGGTCCTTCATTCTCTGCTGCAACAGAGGAGAAGGTCGATGAAGTTGATCCGTATTTCAAGGCAAACCCCAACTCGTCCATTCGGAGAGCCGCTGAAGATTTAAAATTAACCAAATCAATGTTGCATCGCATCCTCCACGTTTTTTTTGAAACTTCATCCATATAAAATATTGATGTATCAGCGTTTGACAGAGGAGGCGATTCTGAGACGAAAGGAATTTTGTGAAAGAATGACACAAATGTTCGAGAATGGCGAGCTGCATGAAACAGCAATTGTTTTTTCTGACGAGGCACACTTTTGGTTAGACAACTACATGAACAAAAATAATTTGAGATTTTGGGGATCTGAAAAACCTAATTTTTTGGTTACGAAATCTGCTCATCCACAGAAAGTCACTGTTTGGGCTGCTCTCTCCATGAAGGGTGTCTATCTACATTTTTTCGAATCTACCGTTACCAGGAATGAATACAAAAGAATGTTAGAAACAAAATTCTTCCCTCATGCGAGGGCTTGTCAATGGGTTTTATTTTATGCAGGATGGAGCAGCTCCCCACCGTACTCACGAAGTTTTTGAAATTCTTAATACAGTCTATCGCGGTCGAGTTCTTGGTTTGGGATATCCAAAATTTTGTAGAGGGGGAATAGATTGGCCACCCTATTCACCAGATTTGAATCCGTGTGATTATTTCCTGTGGGGTTACATAAAAGATTCTTGTTACGCAATCAAGCCAAAAACAATCGAAAATTTGATAAACAACATTAAAAAGACTGTTCACGGTATTCCACAGGAAACAGAACGTGTATTCCACGGTTTTAGAAAACGTTTGGCTTATTGCGTCAGTGTTGATGGCTCTCATTTCGAAAACATTTACTATTAATCGCACTTGTCACGTACAATTTTTGTAAACTACTATTTTTGTTGGGTGAATTACATGTTTCAATAATGAATATACGGTAAAATAAAAATGACAACTCTCCTCTATCAGGAACTGTATTCCTTCTCTTTTTCCGTTTCCAGTAAAAAAAAAATAATCAAACAGTTTTCACACATTCCCATGGGACACCCTGTATTCGCCCCTTCACCATGAACTCCCTTACAAATTAAGGGGTGTATTTCAAAACTGAATTCCGATAAAGAATTCCAATAAAGTTTTGAGGATGGGATATATCCACGCCTTCCCCATGAACTTCCTCACATATGAAAGGGTATATTTGAAAAATGTATTCCAAAAAACGGAAAAATACTGAAAATTTGGAAAATTGCTGATAATACCATCCCCTGAGAAATTTGACGGTGATTTCTTGTATTCCAGAATAATACCACATCATAAGGAGCGATCAAGGGAAAAAGAGAATTAAGCAGTGGATGATTCAAATAATGCTCTCTAAGCGATTAAAAGGAGTGAGCAGTGTTAGCAATAAAGAACATTTTTACATACACTTTTTTTTAAGTTGGTTAAATTTCCTTAGCAATCCCTTCTACGGGTCGTAAACATAATATTCCATAAAAAATTTTCATCTTTATATGGTTTACTAACGTTACGCCGAGATACGATATGTCACAGTAGGGCATTCACACTAAGCTGTCAACGTGTAAGAGAGACGGTGCGTTGGGAATAAGAGTGACGTCACAGCTCGCTTGAGGCCTTCATCAAGTGCACTTGTCAATCAATGATTTCTCATGAAAAATGCGATTTGAAGAGTGATAACAATTATTTTCGAGATTGCTACAATGTCTAGATTCAGATAAAACAATAAAAAATAAGTACGTATGTTCCCTATTGGGGGAGCAGCATAATACCCGCATAAGTAGGGTAGTCATCGTGCTTTCCTCCGTCCATAATTACTCCACTTTAATTATAACTAATTATAAAATCTTGTTGAAATTAAGTTCATGGTTCTCCAAAGATAAAAGTGGAAGCTCATTCGGCGGTGATTGTTCTTCCCTATCCATGAAAAACTTTTTTTTTAGGTGGGCGGTATTACTCAGTAGTAATACCACTAGTGCTTTAAAATTATCGAATATTTTCCGATAGCTTCGTTGCCTAGGAACGATTGTGTCAAATTTTACAGAAACGAAGCTTGAAGAAAATATCCGATAGTTTTGAAGCACTAGTGGTATTGCTACTGATAATATTTGACCTGGAATATAGTATGGAAACGGTGTTTGTAACTTTGCACAATGAATACACCTTGAGAGACACATGTACTCGAAATCAATATATATCTACTTACATTCATTTACAACAAACATAATTAACGGCGATCACTGAGTGATGTTCGTAGCGATGAAAGAGATCGTTTGACTCAAATAAATTATGTCTTGATATTTCAGTTGTAATTTTGAGACTCCGAAAAAAATTTGAATACAATGAGATTCATACCACTATTTTTTAAGTCGCGTAGATAATTATAATTAATTCTAGATTTAATTAACGAGACACAAAGTTTGGACGGAATTCGTATTAACAAAATTGTAAAAAAAACGTTAACAATCAATAGGGACCATTCTTCCAATTCCTGTACGCAAATCCGGCTTCAACATTATCGATTTTTTTTTGTGCTCTTCCGACCATTCGTGTCTACAAAACGAGATTTCCCGATTATGGGAGGTCCATCGCTTCAATTGATCGGGTTTCACGTGATTATCCATTTTTCTTTCGAAATTGTTCGCTCAAATTTAACGTATTTAAAAGTGTTTAAAAAAAATAAATAAAAACAGTTTTTCGTCGGAAATTTTCTGAATTTTCCGAAAATAATAGTCATTTTTTCCCCATATGTCGTTCTCATAGGAAAAATCGGAAAATAAAACTTAAAACTTGAATTTCACCATGTACTCCATCTTTTTTTGAAAATCAGATTTTTTTTTCGGAAAATTCAGAAAATTTCCGATCAAAATCATATGTCAAAAATTTCCGCTCAATCATCCCCTAGTCATAGTTTTTTTTTTCAATAAATTGACTATTTTTTTGCTGTGATATTTACGTTTGGAGGTATGTGTGTATTTTTTGTAAATGAGTCTCAAGATGAATCAGTGATCTAAGTATTCAATGTAAATAAGTATATGTGAATAAATCCGCAAATAATGAAAAAAAAATGGTCAATTTATTGAAAAAAAAAACTATGACTAGGGGATGATTGAGCGGAAATTTTTGACATATGATTTTGATCGGAAATTTTCTGAATTTTCCGAAAAAAAAATCTGATTTTCAAAAAAAGATGGAGTACATGGTGAAATTCAAGTTTTAAGTTTTATTTTCCGATTTTTCCTATGAGAACGACATATGGGGAAAAAATGACTATTATTTTCGGAAAATTCAGAAAATTTCCGACGAAAAACTGTTTTTATTTATTTTTTTTAAACACTTTTAAATACGTTAAATTTGAGCGAACAATTTCGAAAGAAAAATGGATAATCACGTGAAACCNGAAAGAAGAAAGTTTTATTTTCCGATTTTTCCTATGAGAACGACATGTGGGAAAAAAATGACTATCATTTTCGGAAAATTCAGAAAATTTCCGACGAAAAACTGTTTTTTTTTTTTTTTAACACTTTTAAATACGTTAAATTTGAGCGAACAATTTCGAAAGAAAAATGGATAATCACGTGAAAACCGGTCAATTGAAGCGATGGACCTCCCATAATCGGGAAATCTCGTTTTCTAGACACGAATGGTCGGAAGAGCACAAAAAAAAAATCGATAATGTTGAAGCCGGATTTGCGTCTAGGAATTGGTAGAATGGTCCATAGACTGTTTTATATTTATATCTATAGTATAAACTATTTCTCGAGTCGTTGATGAACGATATGTCATGAGAATTCAAGATGAATATTAAATCTAATCTTTATAAAAAATTTTGTTGGTATAATAAGTAAAAACATAATGAGATTTATATAAATAATATTCTCATTTGATTGATTCTGGACATTGCGCACGGTGGAAGATATATACTTTTTCCATAGTTGCATTGTTTGTGAGGAAATCGTATTTTTTTAAATCTTTGGGCATCAGTTAAGGCTGAGACGCAAACAAACATCTTTTTTATCTTGAATTAGACGTACGTTGCTGATATGCCAGGACTGGGAGATGGATCTGATTGATTTCTTGGACCATACTGCCCGATAAATGATCCGTCTTCTGTGAAACGGCCTATAAAGAAAAAAAATGAAATACATTATACTTTTACAAACAAATGGGATTAACAAAGCATTGGCTGAGCCATATACCCCTGAATGTCAATTGTTGTCACTACACAATTCACACAATTATCACTCTGTACCACACAACTGCTGATTTCAGAGCAATACAAGCAATTGAATATAAAAAGAAGAAACTCAAATAAGTTAATTTCCCTTCATACCTTTCTCAAACCACGGTAGCAAAGGCCTTAGGATTCGGTTCTGCCTTTTTCCGTCCGTACTGACCAATGAATGACCCATCTTCGTTCATACCCTCTGCTTTTTGAAACGTAACAAAAAAGGGAACAAATGAAGAAAACAAATAATGTTAAACATAAAACCGATACTACAAGAAATGATCATTTATTTAACAATATGTAAATAACCATTGGAAGATATTGAACAGTCACTATGATATTTGACTCCGGTTACAGAAATGTTTCCTAAATACCTTCCGATTTCATAATATTGGTGTAATTAAACGAATGCACTACTAAGTTCCATGAATTTTGAAAATGAAAACTGAGCTTTATGGTGACTCTTTTACCAGTCTAACTACTCGAAAAATTGTTCAATGATTACTAGATTACACTAAAGTAGTATAAACACACCTCGATTTTTAATGATTAAAATCGAAAATAAATTTTAAATGGATGCAAGTCTGATTAAAAATATTCAAGTGGAATTTGTGCTCAGTTCATCGTCTAGAATTATTGATGACAATTAATTCACAAACAATGATAAGCTAATAGACTCAAATACTCTAATTGCCGTCCATACCTTCCTCAAACCATGGTAGCTAAGGCCTTAAGTCAAATAACACATTTTTATAGGAGAATTATCTTTGCAAGCTCAAGAAAATGTAAAGAAAAAAATGTTGGAAAATCAGAAAAAATACATAAAAATTATATGTTTAAAATTAATCGACAGCCTTAAATTTGTGTTATGAATAATTTCTTTACTGCGGAGAAAAAAAACGCCTAATCAATTGAAATACGATTCTTATAATTTTTTTTTTCGTATACAACATTACAAGACAAATAAACATTTTCAATGGTCGTAGAATAATTATAAGTATTATGCGTGCATTAAATTTTTTTTTGTCTCGTTACACTCAACGACTCAAGTGGAGTATATTCATACGACTTCAATAACAAATGGTGACAAGCATAACGTTATCCGTTATATACATCGCATAAAAATTGTAGTATAAAATTTCATCTCTATGAGATGAGTCATGGTTCTCTGGGGTCTTGCTCTGCACAAATAATAAGCCAGTCCAAAAGTGAGAAAATCACAAAAATTAAATGAACAACTTACTAGTATCACCCTCCTGATATTCGGTCAGAGAGTCCTCATCAGAATCATGGTGCTTTCCATCAGGGTGAGACGACGAAGCAGCAGAAGTTCGACCCCCAGCGGATTTTGTGTCTAGGGGTTGTGAATATTCACTGAACCCATCGGGGTACTCGTTCCTCCCTGCTGTCAAGTCGCGTTCCAGCACTCCATATTTGCCTCCACGATTACGTTTCACCATACAGACGAGAACCAGTAATAGAATAAGAAGTAGTATTGCCAGCACCAAGCCTAAATATCGAATATAGTACAAAAATGTTTTTATGAACCGAAAAATTTTGCTCCCTCATAGCAAGGAAGTTGTAATGTCCATCTCATCTTTATTCTCAAAGATGATTTTGTTACTCCTCCATCAGCTCATGAATACGTAGAATACCACTAAGAGGAATTCTAGACGAGATTTCAGTTCTTTGTATTGGAAGAGTAGTGTTTATCAAGCAGACTAACGCTTTTATGGAGGAGAAACGTAAGTAGTGTATTATTTGCTGAATTATTATAGTCCAAGTTTTTCCGAGAAAATTCAAAACAAATGGGTAATTGCTTTATAGCTTCACCATAGTACGGCTACTAATAAATCAGCAATAGGCTTCTGAATGAAACACACAATGATTTGCACATCATTCCCCTACAGTATATCGTTTTATATGATTTGATTACGGGGAGACTACTATGAGTTTTAAAAGTTGCGGCTTATTGGAATGAGACTTCTCATACATTGAAGATCGATTATATATGTCTAAAAACGAATTAGTGCAAAAAAAATAATTGTTTATTGTTCGTTTACCCAGCAAACGCTTAAAATGTTAAAAGCAATCCAGGGCCTCCAATGTTTGAACTGCAGAGGTTTCTTTTTTTGAAAATGGTAGAAAAAATATGGGCCATAATAATTACAAATTGGTTTTTTGAAATTCGACTCCTACACAGCTAATTTGGTTTCGTTTGAAAAAAAAATTTGCACCATTCATGTAAAATAGCCTGAAAAATATTTCTGAAAGCATCGAGAATATATTTTTAATATTTTTAGGATAATTTTTCTGCTTATTTGACATAAACGACGCAAATTTGTATATTAAACAAAACGAAATTAGCTGTGTAGGAGTCGAAAGTCAAAAAACTAATTCGTAATTGTTACTGCACCCATTTTTTGGAGGCCCTGAACTATTTTTAAGATTTTAAGCGTTCGCGGAGCAAACGAACAATAAACTAATTTTTTTGCACTAATTATTTGTTTTTAGACATATATAATCGATATTCTATGCATGAGAAATCTCACTCCAATATCCCACGACTTTTCAAACTCAAAGTAGTCTCCTCTTAAATAGAATAATGTTCCACTTAATCATATTCATAATCTATATAATCATAATTATAAACAATGTCATTTACAACGAGTTACGTAATAAACATAACTGCACAACATTTACAATACTCGGCGTATGTAAAGAGTTAGTGTTCAAAGCTGTGTGCAGTAAAAAAAATCCCCCTTCACTGAATTGAAGTGCCGTAGAAGTCATTTTTTACGATAAAATTAATCAATTTTAACCCATTATATTTAAGTAATCAGACTAAGTAGATTTTTAAAAAATCTCACATTCTCAATACGGCTTTAAGGGGTAACAGAATGCCGTTAATTTTCCAATTTTTTGAACAAATTTTCTGCTGAAAGTTCTCGATATATTTACAAATCCAAGCACATTAAGGGGAAACGGAACCCCTGCGTTTATATGAATCTTTAGAATTGTGTTTTCTCCTGCGATTATTATTTTTTATTCATTAAACGATTTCATTGACTCAACAATGCAATAATCGAGTCGATAAAGTAATTTCATAGATAGAAATTAATAATTGTAGGAGAAAACACAATTCTAAGATTTGATGTAGATAAAGGATAATCGGGCGAGCTGGGAGGGTTGGAAAAAAAGCAGCCATTTTTTTCTTTTTTTTTACGTATTCTTTAAATAATGGAAAAGGCGTGTGCAAAGTTTCAGATTGCTGGGGAGCATGGTTAATTTATTAGGAATTTTTGAAAAAGTCATTTAACCCGTGATCTTATGGAAATCACCAAAAAAACTGCAAAACCCAAGGAAAAAAGGCAGCCAAAGTCATGAAACTTTAGACACATTTAGAACATTTGATCAATGATTTTTTGAGTGAAAAAGATTGTCACCTAGGAGCATTGTTTATTAATAATAGCGAAAAAAGTACTGAAAAATGAAATTTCTGCGCACGCAGACCAAACGAGCAGCAACGTCCCAAGTACCGATCGGATGGGAGTAGCGCTACCCGATAAAAAAAACTACCGACGATGTTGCCACTTTTTCGCATAGATTAATATTTTTTCATTTATTAAAAAATAACAATCTGAAAACCATTCAATGCGTGGAACAGATACAAATAAATTTAATTAGTTCCAAAAATAATTTTTAACCGGAGATACTCCCTAACATTGCTTGAATTTTGAATCCGAATGCGAAAAATTTTTTTGTTCAGCGATTGGTTTTCTGTAAGAAAACAATAGAAATCCCTCCGCCTCACCTCCTACATTTCCTCCTCACCCGATCATCCTTAATCTCCAGGAAGCGGTAATGGAGATCAATGTGCTTTGGGTTCTAAAAATATTAATAACTTTGAGCAGGAAATTTGTTTGAAAATTTCGAGGAAACGGTTGCCTCCTGTTACCCCTTAAAGAGTAGTGTTAGAATTTCAACTCATTCACGGATATTACAGAAATTTAAATTATTATAATTTTTTCAAGACATGATGAAGTCAATTGGAAACATCATTTTTGGAAAAATTATCGGAAAACCGATTTCAGAACAAAAATCCAAAATTTCGTATATTGTATTGCATAACTCAACGAATACAACTATCGGCTTCATTTCCGAGCTCGGTCTAAATGACAGCTAAACTACTTTCTCAAACCGGTAGTGGATTATTATCTGATTTTCCTGGGACAACCGAGATTCGAGAAATTTCAAAAATCTTAAAGATTGATTGATATGGATTAAATTTTCATTATTGTTGATGTTGATGAATAGGACTTGACAACAGCTATATTTGAAAAAAAAATCGAGCAATTCATTAGCTAACAAATCACATACATATATATACGGAAGGATGTAAAAAATGAGTTGATATAACACGAAAGCTCAAATTCGGACGATTACAAAGCTTCCATTCGGAAGTGTAAATTTTGGTCTCAATCAAGTAATATGAATATTCTTACCGATGAACCAGCTGGCAGTAGCAAAATTCTCAGCCGGCTCGATGACAGGTCCGTCACTGGTTGTCCACACCATCTGCGGTTCACTCACTGTCAAGTACTTGCCATCGACTGCTACCACTCTCATCTCATAAGTCTCTCCAGCCTGCAGTCCCCTAATCTCGATCTCATCACCCTGAAACTCCGGATCAGTCTGCAGCTGATGAGGATGATGATACAGCCTGTATGTGACGAAGAAGTGACTGCCAGGATATCCTTGTCTATTTGGCATCCAAATGATTCTCACAATGGCATAACCATTGTAGTTTGGAATATTCTCCCATCTAAATACCGGGACATCTGGTTTTCGGGAGGCTCTCGTGGTCTCTTCGATGTAGAAGTTGACACCTTCGCCAGCTTGCGTTGTAGCCTTGATGTGAACCCTATACTTGGTCTCCGGTTTCAGACTCGCTAATTTGGCTGCAGTTGCCTGAGGATCCAGGACATGAGGTTGACGCTCTAGCAGCGCTCCCAACTCAGTTCCATTAACCACCTGATAATAAATCCTATAGCCAGTGAGTCTACCATTGGGCTCAGCCGGCTTAGTCCACCGCAGCCAAAACGCACTAGATCCCATCGGATAGGCATCAAGACTCAGTACAGTTCCAGGCACCCCCTCAGAAGTTTCAAAATTCAATGTTTCCGAAGGAGGCCCATTAAACCGCCCATTAAAAGCAAATATTCTCACATAATTCTTGTTAAACGGCACAAATTTATTAATTACAGCCATAGTGCTGTCAGGCCCTGGCACCGTAATCTCCCTCATACCATCCTCGCCATCCCTCTCCGTCCACGTTTGCACCTTGTAACCCCTCAACTCACCCCTGACCATGTCTAAAGGAACCCCAGTCCACGTAAGGACTGCAGTGGTACTTGATAGGACCTCCTCAACCTTAAAATTCCCCGGAGCTGCGGTCGGTTGATCCTCTCCAGAATGTCCAATGACAATATCAGGCACCACTCTCGACTCTCCAATCTCATTGATCGCCGTTACTTTAATTTGATACCGTTGATATGTTGGTTGATTATCAACTACATATGTATGCGTCCTCCAATTATAAATATCTTCTCTTGTCCAATCCTGTCCAGGAATATCCCTCCTGTAATAAACCCTGTATATAAACCTAGGTGCGTTATGCTCAATCTGAGGCATCACAGTCCAGCTGATGACGAGATTCTGTGGAGTTGTTCCATTCCCCATAACGTTAGAAGGATTCTTGTAAGGCACATCAGGCTGAGTGGTGCAAACTGTTGAATGTGAGGATGGAATTGATGGTCCTATCTTATTCCAAGCAACGACTCTGAAAGTATAATTGGCCCAGGGAGACATGGCGATTGAGTACTTCTGCTCGGTTGCTGAAATCGAAAAGAGGGCAGTTTCCCAAGCATCAGGAGCGAATGATGTGTTGTATTGGATGGCATAACGAAGAATCGGCGCACGGTTGTCTCCCATTGGTTGCCAGGAGACTTTTGCATCCTTCTCGAGGCATTGCGTGTCTGTAAGAATAGGAGCATTAGGCACGTCCTGAACTATTAATGTTGCTTGTGCTTCCCTCTTATCCAGCTCAGTGGTAGCGAGACAAGTGTAAATTCCAGAGTCTAATTCAGTGGTTTTGGTGATCGATAGCGAGAAATCACTCGTTACGATAAATCTGGGCTCTGTCTCGGTATCCAGTACTTCATCATTTCGTAGCCAATCAATCTGGAGTGTTAAGCTCGAGTCAGCAACTGCGTTACATCTGAAGGTAGCTGTTTCACCTGCAACAACTTCGTAATCCTCGGGGGTTTCGATGATTTTCGTGTGCTCTTTTACAACGAGGGCGGCTGATGCTTCAACTTGACCGAATTTATTGGCTGCATGACATGTATAGGTGCCTGCGTCACCAAAATTAACATTCGTTATTTCGAGATCACCCGTTTCTAAGGTCTTGTAACGACCACCAGTGAGCTCTAGACCATTTCTGATCCATTTTACTTCGGGTTTTGGAGCTCCAAAAACTTTGCAGATCATTGTCACTGTTTCTCCATCGACTGTCGCTCCATTCTCCGGAGGTTCAGTTATCTTTGGCTCTAGGGCGCGGACGTTTACGTAAACGTCCTTGTAAACATAACCCAAAGAGTTTGTGGCGTTACAACCATAATTTCCAGTATCTTTTTTTGTCAATTTTTCAATGATAATTCTATTGGCGGTGACCTTTCTTCGAGGATTCGGAGGAGCCTCAGCGATTGGTTTACCATTGTGGATCCATTTAATCTCAGGCTCGGGAATTCCACTCGCCTCACATCTGAATTCTACCGTTTCGTCTTCCGCTGCTGTTTGAGACTCCGGTTCAACAGTGAAGTACGGGATTGCCATAACTTTCAGGTCCATCGAGTGAGTCGCAGCTTTTCCAACGCCATTGGAGACTTCACAAGTGTAAGCTCCTTCATCTCCGAAATCTGTACGTGTTATTATTAACGATTTTCCATAATTCCCGTGTCTTACTCGATCATTCGGTTTTATTCTCACCCCGTTCTTCATCCAAATTGTTTCAGGGAGGGGCGTACCTCCGAATATGCAGTAGAGTTCGATTTTTTTACCTAGAAGTATATTCAATTATTCAAGTTTTCTGCTATGAATTTAAAAGCACAAACTCCTATCAACCTTGTTATATCGTATGTCACTCCAGTTGCCAATAAATTATATGAATAGCGAACGGGCGCTTCGTGCCCATCGCTAGATTAATTTATACTATGTTATTTTATTACATTTTCTTTCCTTTTCCGTCTTCACAATTAGATTAAGTCAATTTTATTAATTCTTATTGTCCCTTAATTCACAAGTTACAACATTGAATGAAAAGGAATTCTCCATAAATCACGTGAGAATACAGATCGACAAACAATTTTCTATAAGCATACCTAAAATTTTTCACTTCTTTCTTTTTCTTTAAATTAATTAGTACCAATGATCTGAAAATGTGAACGAATATGAACATTTTACATCCCTTTGATCTCATTTCAATGGAACCGAAGAAAGAAATTGCAAAGATTCGATCATCATCAATCAGTATCAATAAAATAAAAAAAAATATTTTTCTATGTCTTTTCGAAATTTGTCAATGATTTTTCTCTTCTCAAAAAATGAAGGGAAATTAACATTTTTAATTCCTGTGATCGCATTCTGTTCATAGAAACAGGAAATCCGGAAAATGTATGGAAAGGAAAATCAGCAATAAATTTTGAAAATCGATTTTTCAATCTTGAAAATATCAAAACGTTTTTTTTCAATAATGAAGAAAAACCAATGTATTTTCTTTCTATTATCTAATTCTGATAGAAGAAAGTAAAAAGAGGAAGAGAAACGAGATCAACACGAAAACAGAATTTTTAATTTTTCAATGCCTACGAAAAATTTTAAGATCGATTTATTTTTTCGAATAATGAACCAATACCCATAAATTCAATGCCTATCATCATATTTTCCTTGAATACATTAAAAAAATAGCAAAGAATTCAAATCGGTGATGAAAATTTTTATCAGATTATTATTATGTAAAGTTTTGAAAAGTACGACAAAATGAGAAAGATGGCTTCAGAATAATCACAAAAATATAGAAATGTAGCAAGTGTATAATGAGATCGTAAGATGTCTCATACTTGAACAGATTTAATTATTTTCAGTATGACAATTGCTGACGATCTCTATCTAATTTGAAATGGTACATCAGTTCAATCTAGCCCCATTTTCATTATTCATTGAGGAGGACATATATTTACCTCGTAGGGCTACTTCGTTCTTCCTTGAGAGATACTGACGTACAAGCTCATGTTTGTTCTGTGAAGCTGATGCTCCTGAGGAAATGACGTTCAAAAGGAAACGGTTACCCACTTTGTATTCCTTTCTGTAGAGGGACGTTGCTGCACAGGCATAATAAAATTCGTCAGATGCATCGTCCCTGGTAACATTGGAGAACCAAAGGTTTCCCTCGGGATCTAGAGTCATCCTAGAGTTGTTGATGGATTTTATTATGCCAGTCATTTCCTGAATCAGCCAGTAAACGTTGGGCTTGGGCCAGCCGTCCGGTGGCTGACAGGTCATCTTGAAAGGCTCTCCTTCATTCGCTGTCAGTGTCACTGGATCTTCGTCTTTGAAAGAGTTGAGCTCTGCTTTTCTAACAAAGACTGAGTTCGAGGTGGCTATTCCCCATTCATTCTCGGCGAAGCACTGGTACTGCCCGAGATCTTCGTCTCGGGGACGAGAGATCACTAAAGTACCGTGTTCTGGTTGCTGCGAAATACGATCGTCGTACGTCGGCCAGTCAAATTTCTTGCCATTCTTTATCCAGCGATATCTGAAGTTGAAAATGGGAGTTCATTATGATTTGGAAAACTCAGTATAACAGGAAAATATTGGTTTGCAATACCACCTCAAAGTGATTTTTGAAAATCACGGGAAATAGTTGTATTTTTATTTGAAAAATATAATTAAATGCTGAGAAAATCTGAGCGGAGAAATTAGCAAGATTGGAGTAACGTACATCATATGACACCAAATCCTGCAGTCTGCTTAGCCAAGCTCGAAATGTCAGAAAAGTAAACTAGCAAGCGACTGCAAGCATGCCACTATACATGTAATGCGTGTTCGCCATCAATACATTATAGACGGTCTTCCGAATGGTTTCGTTCGGTTTTTGTTTTGATTGGATGAATATAGAAAATCAGATTCACCAAAGTAATTGGTGAGATATTTTCCAAAAAAATCGCTTCATAAACACTAACCAAAAACGATGAAAAATGACAATATTTATAAAATTCTATAAAAACAATTATACATATTTAGAATGATTGCGATAGAACATAAAATTAGCAGGGGTTCGAGTCTTATTGGTAGAAGCCATCTGACTATTTTTTTATGTGGTATAACTCTTTTTCGTTTTTTTTATTTCTACCAATTCCGGTGGGAGTAAGCTTCCGAATGGATCGGTACCAATTCTATTAAAAACAAGTGGAGTTTATAAATGAGGAAATTGATACTCATAACATTTGACCCTTGAAGCTCCTGAACCATGAAAACCTGTCAACCTCAGAACATTCGATCTTTGGTGTGTATGACCCTCAACATATTTAACTCTTAAAAAGTGAACCGTGAAGTTTATTTATCAACATATTTTCCACAGACCCACCAAGCACCGAATAAAATGTATATTTCGTCTTGCTAAAGAAGGAAACCTGTATGACGGATAGCACGAGCATAATTAGAAATTATGAAAAAGAAAATTCACTCCTAGAACATCTGAACCTTCATGCTCCTGAACTGTACAAATCCCTAATCGTTACAAAATTTGAGCCTCAAAACGTATGACCCTCTATACATTTGTGTCTGCCACAATATTAAACACTACCATAAAATGGAACAAAACAAGCAGGTGACAGCGAGCATATAACAGCCCGCCATGTAACAGTGAGCATGTCACTGAGTGATGTGATCACTCATGTCTTATTTGTTTCGCCATCAATACATTGATGCATGGCTTCCGAATGGTCTGAAATATTGCAAAAGTTTATAGCTTCACAACACTAACTACCAGCAGAAATTTCCGATGGTTACTGCCACCTCCATGGGTGCTATCAAAATTCCAATGTTTCGAATACTTCGTATGAGGTTATACATATTTCTGTCCAAATTTCCACTTGATATCTCGATTTTTGTACAAGCTAGAGTGTTTACAAGGTTTTTATGAAAAAACAGAAAAGGGGGAATATTTCGAAAACTTTGTATAAACGGGTACCGTGAGGACGTCAGTTCTCGGACGGTATTCAGATCTCGGACGCAGAGCACTCTTACGATTGAATTTCAAATTAATTGCATATCCATAGTGCTCGACGGCCATTTTCTGTTATTCCCTCCAAAAGTAGAATAAATTCCCCCCAAATTGCAATATTTATTGATATTTCACTAAGTGTACAGAATTATTACACTTATATTTATTCGAGGGTTCACACAGTAGGGGGGTCTGTGGAGTGTTATGTAGTGTGCGGACGGTGAAATCCCTCTGTGCTTCTTAAGGATCTAACAACAAAATGTAAGTGAAAAATTGTTTATAATCGGTTTTTATGAGTTGAAGGTTAATTTTCGAATAAAAATAGATGTGGACAATTTTAAAAAATAAATAAATTATTGGAGAAATTGAGGGTCCGAGATCTGAATCCACCAAAGGCGAGGTGGGTTAAGTTCTCGGACGTGTTTATCCATGTGGTTAACCTCAATCGCACGCATGAAGAAATTTGACAGAAAAACTTAGCACTTTCTCTGAGAAATTCTATTGCATTTCTAGTGGAATTCTCTTGGAGTTCCATTAGAGTTCTATTGAAAAATTCTATTCGTTTTTTGGTCCATTTATATAGAATTTTATCTAATTTTACCGTTTCATTTGTCCAAGAGACATTCGGTTTGAAAAAAGTAAATAGATTTTGAGATGTTTAATGAAATTCATAGGTGTAAATATTAGAATTTTTTTCTGCTAAATTTTTATTCGTTTTTGTTGCTGAAATTGCTGAAAATAAAAATCTCAGAGAAAGCGCTAAATTTTTTCATTAAATTTATTCATACAGGCGTTCATCCCTGTTAGTGCTCTTATTCTCATGGAGACATTCTTCTCACATTTTTGAAAAAATATAATGATTCCCAGGAATAATAAGAAAAAAAAATCATCCATTCTTCGACTCTTTCAGGCCTGCGACGCTTTCGCGACCTAGAAAATCAAAAGCACCAGAGTATACTCCTGAGCAGTTGGAAAGTGCTCTGACGGCGATCAGAACAGGAAGATCTTTGGGATCAGTCAGCAAAAAATGTAATATCCCCAAGTCAACCTTATACGACAAGGCAAATGGCAAGACAAAAGCTGGGATCAACAGACCTGGTCCTAAGTGTATTGTGGGAGAATTTTATGAGAAGAAACTGGTAGAATGGATTTGTTATATGGCTGATAGGGGGTTTGCCGTCACTAAGGATCAATTGCAGAATTCCGTTCACAAACTGATGAAATTTCTTGGCTCAATTACACTTAATTCATAATAATAATGGTTATTCATGGTTATCATTTAGTGTGTAATAAATTTATGGCTATTGGAATGAGAATAGATTTATCAAAAATATTTTTTACAATTGATTTCCTGTATTTTTCCTTCTCCCAAACCCCTCTCATTCACTTCGTCTGAGAACTGAATTCATGTCGTCCGAGAACTGAAGTGGGAATTTTTGGCGTCCGAGAACTGAATCCGGGGAGCTGTGTTTTGTTTTAATAAATATTTATCGAATTCCGAAGTTTTAAAATAAAAATGCAACGTGTTCTTGTCCCAAAAACATCAAAAATGACTATGGAAACCGCAAACTTCATATTTGACGAAAAAAAAACGAAGAATCGGTTATTGATGGTCGAGTTACCCTTAACCGTCCGAGAACTGACGTCCTCACGGTATATATGTTTTGATTGATTTAGATAGAAGTCGTCGAAATGAATATTTTGAAAAAACGATAAATCGAAATCGGTCCACTAGTCTTGAAGATATTTGCGGACAACGATTTAAAAATGGTTTAAAAATCGGTTTTTCTCAAAAACTATTAGATCGATCGGGCTGAAATTTTGCACCGAGCTAGTCCTTATTAGGACCTATAATCTGATAAAATTTCAGATTTTTTGAGATTACTTTAGCTACTTAATTACTCAATTTTCTAAAAATTGACCACTAGGAGGGTGGCGGTAGACGTGGTCACATACAGACATGGTCGCCAAACTTCGTATTTTTACGTTTCAGAGCATTCTATATAATTTCCAATCCAAATTAGAATGTGAAAATCGAACGATTGCAATACTTCCATTTGAAAGCAAAAAGAACATAATTTTATGGCAGATGATTTCTTAAGTCATACAGATTCGAAAATCATTGATAAAATAACGAAGCCTACTACCAATGGAATTGGTAGAAATAAAAGAACGAGACAGACTAATGACAAAAAGTAACAGTTGCATGCCTTCTGTCGAATAAGCTCGAACCCCTGCTTGTTTCCGCACGTACATACTGAAATACATACCCACATTTACTAAGAACATCATATCTTGATATTTCATGACATTTTACATCATTTCCAAGCAAAATTAGAAGATCGTAAAAACGGAGGATTACAAAGCTTCCATTCAGAAGCAAAAAAACATACAAAATGAAAATGTGAAATGGAAAATGTGAAAATTAAAAAATTTGAAATATTTCAACTCGGAAGCAAAATCACACTTTCTCCACACCTTTGCAAATAGTCATATACGATTTTTCTACTGGTTAGAATGCATAATATTGCTTTTGGTGTCCCATTCGTTAAGAAATTAAATGTCTGCCCAAAGGTTGAATGGGATCATCCAACTGATTAAGTCCAGTGTTCTTTCACTGCCTAACTCAACTCATGTCGACCGAACATTTTGACGGTTGTAGTCGAGCAAAGCTCCGTCATTAAAGTCACTCAAATAATGACTAATCTTGTAAAAATGAAGAAATAAACTTACTGCGCTCGAGGCTTTGCTTCCGCCTCGCACTCAATTACAAAAGGTTTGTCATTTTCATTAAGATTCGCTTGAGCTACTTGAAAGAGCAGTTCGTCTGTAGGTGGCTGTTTTATTATTTGTGGTGGATATTGAACTGGAAAATAGAATTGATTGTAATTTTTCTCTATATGGTCACATTGTGTAATAAAAAAAATCTCTCTCACTTGAGGCAGACGAATAGAGCGCAGAGGCTACAACAATAAACAAGGCACACCTCATGGTTCTCCACCGTTACTTTCTCTGCAACAAAAATCCCATTGAGTTATATTATGAATTATGAATTACTTCCCAAACAATTTGCTCCCGAATATCATTGAATACAGAAATGTCTCGGAAAAACTTTAATTATATTCAATTAAATTGATCTCATTCTATCATTTAATTACCTATTGTACAAAGATCTTTAAAGTAAAGCCATTTATAGAAATCTATCAAGGTCTTCTTTTATACTAAAAATCGAGGGCTAAAAAATGTTTTTCTTAATAAATTCTCTTCAACTCCTCTACCCTCAAGATATTTACAAGGCAATCGGTGAGAAAAATTCTTTCATTCTAATTACCGTCATTACCCTCGCCCTGCATTTAAAATCTACGGAATATGAATCAACAGAGTTTACCTATACTAGAGTGTTGGTAATGACGCTCACACCACACGCGTACTCATCGGAACAGGTAGTCCCCGATGATCTCACCGCAATTGTATTCTGAAAAATACAGAAAACTCTTAAAATAAAAATTATAACAATCGGCACCCTCCCACCCGTATTGAGCGATTAACGAATGACCGAAAATATATATTTTTAAATTCATCGACTTTTAGAAAGAATTGAATAAGCGAATGAATTGTGGAAATACGAGGAATGCATTGTAGACTCAGTAAACGGTCACACCCGAACGCGTGAGGAATTGATCTCGTCCAACGGCTGTTATTTGTCCTTAGCAAGAGAAGGAAAATCACGAGAAAACAAGAATTGACAGTTTATTGATGTACTCACCCTTTCTTGGTAATTAATCCTTCGTGTAAAAATAATATATCCCAATGTTCAATCCAATACCACGCATTCTTGAAATCACAATCTCGTCTATTGCCATCCACATCCGCTACTGTATAGTACTGAACTATACTGTCGGACTGACGAGTCCGTTCCCTTCGTTTTCAGAGGTGGGAGATGTGGATGTGCGTGGGGATTAGCCAAAGTGGGGGTAGCTACAAAGGGAACGGACTCGTCAGTTGGCCTATAAAGTCCGTGCCACGAAAGAAGTAACATCGGCTTGAGTGGTGGGGGCCGTGGATTGAAAGCTGAATTCAGGAGAGTGGGGGTACCCAGCGAGGTTCCTTCTTTCGTGACGAGAACTTTACGTCTCCATCTGTGTAAGCAATCATGTGGCGCTTCCAACGTTCCTCACTACTGTTGCAAAGACTTGGTGATTGGTGGGTAGATCACCGCCATTACTCCATTCAAAGTAAGTGACACGACTATTTCAATTTAATTTAATTTACCGTGAGTGTCCCAATTGCCGCACGGTTAAGAATATTCTACCAGACAATAGTGTTTAATTTGTGTTTTTTTTTTGTAATTATGAATTCTGAAGGTTCATGAGTCATCTTTGATCATTTCTTGACAAAAAGACATTCGATTTCAACTTTAATTCCGAAGAATTCGATAAATATTGATTAAAAAACCATCATAGCTCTTATGGTCGAGTTCTCGGACGACTAAAACTGACCTAGCCGGGTTGCCGGATATCGTGTGCCCGATTCTCGGACACAGTGAAATAGAGGCAGAGAAATATAGGAAATCAGAAGTGAAAAGTATATTAAGTGTAATTTTATTACTATTTTAACAATGATAAACTGTGATCAACACAATAATAGACAAACAAAAACGTTGAGACAATAAAATATTTGAGTTTATGGTTCATTTAGAGGGATTTTTTCGGGAGGGCTGTGAGAATCGTTAGCGTCTCCACAACTATTATCTAAAAGTTCTTTTTTTTTCACCCCAGAGTCCTTCCTGAATTGACAGTCTTCAGAGATTTCCGCAAGTCCTCATTGGTATATTTGCGGGCTTTTTTTTCTGTATTTCCAGGCCTAGAAGATTCAAAAAAATGAATGAATTTGTTATATTCGTTATTTTTATTTTTATTCTCATAATTTTTTCATTATCTAATGCACGAGAGTTTCAGAAAATAATATATCTTTATGAAAGCAAAGAAACTGACAGAAAAAAAACATTGAGGTTAAGGGTTGGAAATCACATGTGCGGGAACTCCTCCAACCGCGAATTCAGTCGTCCGAGATGCCGGATTTAACATTTCCTCCATAAAAAACAATTATTTTTCTCTTTTTTTCATTTCAGCTTTTTCCAAATTTGTTGCTCAACTACTAGAAACCTATTAAAATGTTCTATTGTAAAAATGTTCACTTACATTTTGCTGTTTGATCCTTACGCAATATCGATGATTTTTAACGTTCGCGCACTACACAACCACCAGCTCAGAGACCAGCCATGGGTACTCTTACGTAGATTAATTTCTAATAATTGTATGAAACTCGTGGAACATTCGACAATAGTGTGATTTAAAGGGGAATAATTGGACAATCGCATGTAACAAAATGAAATGCACATGATGACTGTGAATATATGATAAATGCTAAATTCTATCCTAAGAGCGCTCTGCGTCCGGGAAAGGGGTCCCGTGCGGCAATTGGGACACTCACGGTATTGTTCTTAAAGGGTCTCCGCAGTACTTTTGGGTAAAATATGACAATGTGCTTGCCAATTAAATATATCATATAGTAATCAAAAATGTTAAAAAGGTATTTGTAAAAGCAATTCCAACGACTTTTATGGTTTCGTTCGTGTTTAATTAATTATTCAAATTGCGCCTTATACACAACCTTTATGGACGCTACTTTGTCCCATACCCCTCACACTGTTGACAATGTGCTAGCCAGCAAAAGAAGCTAAATTGTTCTATATTAAGCCCTAAACAATATGGGCACGAAGTCCCATTGGGTTTTATCGTTGATTTGTTCAATAAATTAATGGTAAAAATACTATGGCGATGTCTGTCATTATCCAACATACGCCATGTTTGATGTCCCGTCTCTCTCGAAACTAACCTCACTAACTTGACTATTGCACACTCCACTCACCCGCGCGCCTTTCACAACTGCGTAGACCTCTTAAAAAGAGTACATGGGTCTCTTGTAACAATTTTTGCATCGCCCTTAAAAACTAAATAAAATTAAACATAAAATAAAGTTGAAGGATAACAAATATATAGATACTTAATAACAACGAGAGTCTCATTCAATAAATAAATGAACAGAGTGGATCATAGTAAAAATCATAGTGGCGCACCCGAGAACACCCAACCATGTATCGAAAGAGTAGAACAGATGATGACAAATCACAGAACAAATCAGAAATCTCACACACGTACAATAGTCCATTCGCTAGCTACCATTTGGTGTATATTTTTAGGGTTACTGGTCGACTTGATGTTTTTTGATTTTTTTGGAGCGTAGAATCCGAATTTGAAGGTCGTTTCGACGAGAAATGATGCAAACAAAAGTTATTAACAATTTAATTTTTTATAAGATCATATTACGGAAACAGTTATAGATAGGGAGAAAAGTTTCAAATAAAAGATATTTGATCTGTAAAAACACACATTTTTTATTTTATAACTTTTTCTCCTAACTATGATAAATAAAAAGTAATCGGTGGTGGGCGGAGGGTTAGCACTTGCGTGAGATCTCGTCGCGTTCCGATGTGTCTATCGGCTAACTCAATGGAGACAGAAAAAAATACTTCGAATAAAAAATGTTTGTTATAAAATTTTACATATTAGTTATTTGAGTTTTTCCCCTACAGGTAACCGTTGATGAGATATTAACGCTCTTGTGCTCCATACGGAGGCAAATAACCTAGAACGTGTTTGTTTATTGCAGTTTCGCGAATAAACGGTTCGAGATATGGAAAAATATTTCACAGTCAAGTTGTTCCCTCATAAAAAACGCATAGATTTAATCTTATCTTTTTTTGACCTATCTCCATTCTTTACAGAAATATAGCCCGTCAAGTAAAAGCGCGGGCAGTCCACGCACTTACTATCCATACGCTGAACACGATCCTGAGCGTGGTGTTGGCTCAACTAGGTGCGCAACTAGTTTATTGCTCATATCTCGGAATCTGAACGAGATATGGGACATTCCATGTCAACTCTGCCACCCTGAATTTTGCGGGTTCTCAGAATTCTGAATTGACATGCTCGCAGTCAAGTACTAGATAAGTACATACTTTCCCCAAATTTTCGTTTTTTTAACATAAATTGCTTGTCTACAACATGGGTCAAAAGCTCAAATTGTTGAAAAATCATATCTCGCGCACAAATTGACGGATTTTAATAAATAAAAAACGATTTTTTTTTCGTTTTTTCATGTACTTTATGAAAAAAAACACCAGTACTGCGAGGGCAAGTCATAGACTATTTTCAGAGGTTTGAATTTTTCAAATTCCACTGTTACGCAGGGGCCAGTCGAAAATCAATTAATTCTTTTTTTTTCTCGATAGATAATAATAATTCCCAATTTTTTCGGGATATTTTGAAATGTGATATCGATATAGAGATGAGAAAAAAAAATTTTCCATAAAAAATTCTTTTTTTTTCGACATTAACGGCTACAACTATGCAAATCCCATATGAAACTCACCACTTACTCCTGTATCATATATTTTTACTCAATGGATAACGTAACTCCAATGTCAAATTGAAATAAGTAGAATATAATAGTTTTAATACCACTTAAATTGATGAACATCGATTTCGACAAAGAAAAAACGACTTAAAATTTTTCGATTTTCATGTCAGATCGCTAGGTATATATAAGTTAATGCTTTCGTCGACTCTTTTTCGGAAAAACTTCTCCACTAGCCGCTGCTGAATATCTTTTAATTAATAATTGTCCATCTTCTCCAGGGATGAAGCAATGATTTTTTTGAATGGCTGGAATGGCCTTCGCACTACTGAATCTTTGTTTCAAGCTGTCCTGGATAACTTTGTGTTCTTCTTTACTATAAAAAAATACATCAAGATCTTTGAAGTGATCTTTCGCCCAGCGAAACAGACCACTAGGTGTGAGGATAGGTTCCCCTTGAGTTATCTGCAGACTCCTTCGCCTCGAGGGGAGCCTCTTCAAAACTGCGCCTACTCCATCACATGCCATTTTACCATGTGCAGTCGTATGATAATGAGCTTCCGCTTCAATTCCAAAATCATCTTTGTGGGACAAAAGATGCAAATCCACAGATTTGGTACCGATCCGATCCTTATAATGTTGTGCAGCTCCATCGGTAACATAAATCAATTGTGTCACCACCTCACAGACTTTTCTTATGTGTTCCATCAAAATCTTTTGCATCACGTAAACCGCAATAGTATCGTGGATAAGACGATCAGTTAGAAGGACTAGACTTCGATGGCGAATATCACTCCCCTGACGATAATAATATGGTCTATTATTATCGTACAGTGCAATGGTCATTATTATAATGAAATGATTGAGCTGCGTCCTGAGCAACGAAGGAATAATTCTTGGAAAGATCACACTAAACCAAAATCTCTCCTTCAACTATATTCTCCTTTCGCTCTTTCACCTAGGCTGTTTGCTCAGTGGCAATGAAATGATGAGATTTCAACGCTTTCAATCGTTCACAAAGTAAATCAATGAATTCACTTGCTGGTAGTTTCTGAATCTGCAATGTTGCCCTGTCCGCAGTTTGCCACGTTTTGAATTCCACAGTTTCGATCATAGCGTAGTTACAAAGTAATTTTTTCAATTCAAGTGATAACACATCAACTCCCGGACAGTTTTGGCATTCATCTAAATGGCACGCAGGCATTAGATTGAAACACGTGAACTTCGCGAGACAATCTTTGTAGTTCGTAAGAGGAGAAATTGAATCTTCTGTGATAGTGGAAATATTGATGGCATCCATTGTTGATGCAAATCTGCCAAATTTTCAAGTATCAGCCTTTTCTGCATAATTTTCTTCCTGTCGTTGATTCTAACGGATACTTTATGGCACGCCGTACAATAAGTCGAGTTTATCGCACGCTGCGCTTCGCGCACCGTGCTTCAAACTCGACTTCTGCATGATGTACCATAAAATAGTATAGACCACTCGGGCATAAACTTCACATTCGTCGAAAACGAAATTTGTGCCCTTGTACTCTAATGTACTATTATCTTTGATTCCTGGCATAATTCTACTATTATTCTCGTAAAACGTGTGGACTTTCTCAATAGTTTCATCGGGTAATGATTTTCCTGCTTTCGCGACGGCTGAAGCCAATACTCCTCTCATTTCTCTCAATTTATTCGCTCTCTGAGCCATGTGTCTCGTGGCTCCAAATTCCTCACTCACTTTCCGAGTATTCCATGACAATGGAGCGACTGTCGAAATTCCCCGAGTCGAATATTTGGTTCTGACAAGTCCTGCTTAGAATTTTTCTTCGAAGGACTCAGGAGGATTCAAGAGAACTGAATAGGTTTTAGGAGGTCTCTTTCCCATGGTTTCCCAAGCCTATTCACCTCTGGTTATATTCCATTTCAGCACTCTTTAGGAACAAAAAGGACAGGAGCAAAACCTACTTGGACCTATNAAAAAAAAATATAACTCGCGTTTTAATGAAGAGGATTTAATTTCTTAGGCTTCCAAATTTTCATCTTTCCTCTAGCTTCATTGACATGCAGGATAAATATATTTCCCTTGATTGTGGAATATAATAATTAAAAAACTCGATTTTCAGCGATTACGTCACAATGTTTTTCTATTTGTATTTTTCTTATAAAATTTGTCACTATGAACGTTCACCTTGACGATAAAANATTCCATTTCAGCACTCTTTAGGAACAAAAAGGACAGGAGCAAAACCTACTTGGACCTATTGAATCCTCTACGATAAATTTCTACCGGTCCTAGCCAGGCCTGNGGCGAGACTCCCGGTCGACAATGAAACTGTGAAATTTAGACTGTCACAAATTTTGGCCCCCCCAGCCGGGAATCGACCCCCGGGCCTCCCGCATGCCAATCCCACACTCTAACCACACAGGCACCGCCGTCGGTGTTTTATTTGCTAATAAATTAGCAATATGCGTCCGAATGGTTTTTTTAATCAGATTTCCAACTTAATTGAATGTTATCATCATGATTATTCTTATTATCCCTTTCTTCTACGTTAGAAATTTCTATGTTAAAAATTAATTCTAAAAAAAAGTTAGAAATTTTTTGAATTTTTAGGGAAAATATGACAGTAATTNAATTTTATCGGTTTTTATTCAACAACTCGAGTTCTATTCGTTCGATTCCGATTTATTAAGGGTTAAAATGTTGAATTTTTTACCACCTATAAGAATAATTTTGGTAATTTTTTTTTCCAATCTCTAAATGCTCAAAGTAACAAATTTTCGAAAAAAAAAATTGAAAAAGTTGTATTTTTCTGAATACGTCGCGATTGATTAAAAAAAAAAATTAACAGTAATTCTTATAATAAAAACGAGCATTTTGAGCCGTCATACATGTTGGGTTTCATCCCGGATCTATTTTATTTTTAATTTTTTCTTTTCAAAACTCCGCGAATTCGCTCGAAATACCCCAAAAGCGCGTTGATTGACTTTGATTATAAACAGTATGAAGTCNAAAGCGCGCTGATTGACGTTGATTATAAACAGTATGAAGTCAATTTAAATGTATACCTATATATTACATATTTTTTCGATACATCATCAAAGTCATTTGGGATGTTTTCACCAAATTTGTGGAATTTCGAAGAGAAAAAATTGAAAATAAAATATATCCCGGATGAAACCCAATATGTATGATGTCTCAAAATACTCGATTTGATTATAAGAATTGATGGAAAAAATATGAAAAAAATCAATCGTGACGTAATTTGCAAAATTCAACTTTTTCAACTTTTTTTTTTGAAAATTCATTATTTTGAGCATCTAGAAATAAAAAAAAATCTTTGCTAAGAATGTTCTTATAGGTGATGAAAAATGGAAAATTTTGACCCCTAATAAAGGTAAATCGGATGAGTAGAATTCGAGTTGAAAATGAAATGAAAAAAAAACGGATAAAATTTAAGGAAATTATATCTCCGAACTGGGCTTTAAGACATAGTTTTTCAAGCCCCCCAATCGTAGAAAGAATCGCCATCAATTTTCAAGCGGGTGAGGGTCAGTCGTTTACTCATCCGGCATGGAATACCTCATATTGATCCTCACACGCTCCTTAAAATTAACTGCTCAATTCTCTCATTGTTTTTTTAGCATTACAACACCACAACTCATTTCGTGTCCACACCAGATGGACACTAACTTTTTAAAATTAGTTATAACCTCTTATAATTAGCTTTTCACATCTTTTCATATTCTTAACATTAGTTTCATATCTTTACCTCCAGGAACTTTTATTTACGTTTGTTACCAGCAGCCTTATTAATACATTTTATGTACAAGGCGCGGTCAATGACTTCTCCTTCTCCAGCTAACTTGCAAATCCATTCTGTAAATGGGATTGTTCATTAAATTTTTTGGTTACCTTGGCAATTGAATAAAATCGAATTTTTCATGTAAGACGATCATTAAAATTCCAATAATAGATTGAATTTTCTAAGCAATTGTGGGGATGACATTCCATTCAATTCACTTTTGTATAGACGAGCTGTTCCACGCTGAATCTATATCCTAAAAAAGTCGATGTGGGAGATTTTCTTATAAATTTTATTCTGAAAAGGTGGGCTTCGGACGAAAATATTGAAGAAAAAAATCATATCACGATCACTCCAATCATGACGGCATAAATCGATGTTTTTTTATTGAAAATTTCACCAAAAATCATCGATAAAATGACGTATTTTTTTGTGTCAATTAATGTCAGTGTTTCTCCCTAATTTGGGATTCATTAATACTTTCAGTGAATGACCTACTGAGAATGAGGGAAAATTGCTCTTCACCTTCCAATTATGCCATAGTTGAATGAATTCTTCCTCCAAGTTATGTATCAAATATGAAATTTCTGAAATGCAGATGTTGTGGGAGAAACCGGGGCAAAATGATACATTGGGTCAAACAAGACTGCGGTACAACATAACAACTCCATTAACATTTTTGTTTTCATCGATTTTGTATTGAGTTACACTGACAAAATCATGTGAGAATCTCTCAGAAAAATTTGACAGGGATTTTTCACTGAGCTTGGAATGGGCAAAAAGGTATTCCTCAATTTTTTATTTTTTTTTCTACTTCGGTATGAACTCAATTTTTTTCATGTTCATTTATTATTTTAAAAAATATATAACTCGCGTTTTAATGAACAGGATTTAATTTCTTAGGCTTCCAAATTTTCATCTTTCCTCTAGCTTCATTGACATGCAGGATAAATATATTTCCCTTGATTGTGGAATATAATAATTAAAAAACTCGATTTTCAGCGATTACGTCACAATGTTTTTCTATTTGTATTTTTCTTATAAAATTTGTCACTATGAACGTTCACCTTGACGATAATAAAAAAAATGGGCCCTTGATGTATGCAATTTTTTCCTTTTTTGTTCAGAATTTTACTATTTTTATGGCAGATCCAATATATTGGAAATAAAAACAATCATTTATAGGAATAAAATCAATGTCATCACGAAAAGTCCTAACAATTTTCAATAAAAATTGTGAAATTCGGATTTAAAAAAAGTGGACAATAAAGTAGGATAAAGTAGAATAGCCCCTTAGAATGAAAAAAAATACGTGCAAGATGACCATTCCAAAACATATTACTAATTTATTAACAAAAACAGCTATGCTCCTAGAAAAAAAAAAACAAATTTTCCACTTGTTTAAAATTATGTTTTATAGATAATCGCGATTGAAAAATAAAACATAATTTAGTGTATACCCTCGTCAAAATGAAGGACATGCAATTTCTCGTTTTGAAGTTTTTTCATATATTCATTAGGTATGTCAATGAGGAATTTGATAGCTGTAAAGGGGGTTAGAATTGTTTTGGTAATGTGAAGAAAAAAATTCACAGAAAAAAAGGAGCTTTCAATCAATAATAATTGCTGAAATTAACAATACTTTTTTCTTTTTTTTTGCTTCCCGATGGGAGCTTCGTAATCGTTGAAATTCAAGTGTTGGATTTTTTATAGTATTATATTTACCCAGTAAGATTTAAAAAAGTCTGAAAATGCAATTTTTAAACCTCTTCCTGACATATGTTTGTTGTGTGTACGTATTTAATATTGTTTTTCTTCAATTATTCACTAATGAATGGATAGAATTAATTTTTTTTTCCAAATGAAGGCAGTGTTAAGCCCTATCAATCGCCATTAATTAAAATTCAATTCATCGATTAGTTATTTTAATTTCTTCGAAAATCAGTTGTTCCACGATAACTAAAAAAAAGGTTGTGCATTGATTGAATAATGGCTTAAAAAAATTGATTGAATGTCCTTTTGACTGAGTTCGAAGATGAAGGCGATCGCAATAATCGTTATTTTGATTTATTGGAAAATTTCAAAAAATTTGGTATTTTGTGAAAATCAGAATTCCGGGGATAACTTTGAATATCATGCTCCAAATTAATTCAATTATAGCGTAAAATATTTGTTCCAATGTCATTAAGGGTCGGGTTCATTATCTGCCAAATGTTATTTAGATTGACTTTTTGTTCGATTTTCATTTCGACATTTCAACTCGATGCCCCATTACTTAGGGACATCCAAAAATTCTGAATTTTGGTTGAAAGAAAAGAAAAGCAAGTGGGAAATTGCTCTTGTACTGCAAATAGTATAGTTTTTTTGCTATTTTTTTCTTCTCGTATACCCTTTCGGGTCTTTACGATGGGAAGGGAACATTCCCATCCCCTAACCCCCTGTACCGCATTCGCCGAAGGACAAAGGAAAACCTCATTCGAAGGAAAAACCTGCCCAGGTACAGTCGTCTCTTGCGAGACTCCCGCTCGACAATGAAACTGGGAAATTTAGACTGTCACAAATTTTGGCCCCCCCAGCCGGGAATCGACCCCCGGGCCTCCCGCATGCCAATCCCACATTCTAACCACACAGGCACCGCCGTCGGTGTTTTATTTGCTAATAAATTAGCAATATGCGTCCGAATGGTTTTTTTAATCAGATTTCCAACTTAATTGAATGTTATCATCATGATTATTCTTATTATCCCTTTCTTCTACGTTAGAAATTTCTATGTTAAAAATTAATTCTAAAAAAAAGTTAGAAATTTTTTGAATTTTTAGGGAAAATATGACAGTAATTCTTATGACAGTGACATTAAATCTAATTTAGGGGGAAAATTTTCATAAAATTTCAAGGTTTAGGTATAATTCAAGGAAATTCATGAGTTTTCACTGGGAGTAAGATAGGTATTTAATAATGTGATTGAATTTTCAATGCAACATGAATATTCAGATACAAAATGACATTAATTTTTTCCTAAATTATCCAGATTTTGCTGAATTTTCACGGAATAATTGAACTGAAATTCAAGGACTTTATTAATTTTCAGATCACTCAAACAGAAAATCAATGAAATATTTGATTTTTTAATGACTAGTAGATTTCCTGAAATTTCAGTGATTATTTTTCTCACTCGGATTTCAGCCAATCAGAGCGCAGTATTTAAGGCTGTCAGTTTTATTTCGGCAATTTCTAAAAAATTTCCGACGGAAATTCACTAGTAGCTTTTCAAATGTTTCTCATCTTTCAACGCATTTCACGTTTAATATTCTGTGTGACAGATGAACAAAAAAGTGGGTTGTAAATGTATCCGGATGCTGTTCACTGCACTTTGCTTGGCCGAAATCCGAGTGGAAAAATAATCCGTCAAATACCTCTCGTGCTTCAAAATTAATCGGATATTTTCCTCAAGCTTCCCTGCCTAAGAACGAGTGTGTCAACTTTTGCAGAAAAATCCCTTGTGCTTTGCACTCGGGATTTTAAACCTGCAAAATTTGACACAATCGTTCCTAGGCTACGAAGCTATAGGAAAATATCCGATAATTTTGAAGCATTAGTGGTATTACTACTGAAAATTGAACACGATAAAAATTTTCGGAATTTGGCCCGCAAAATTCAGACGGAAATGTTCAACAGTATACACTATCGATTGTTTTTTTTTACGGTTCTGTCTCTCCTCTTAACCCTTCGATAAAATGTTAATAGAAAAATTTTACTTATTTATACTTGAATGAATTTGAAACATCGCATTTGCGGAAACCACCGTAAAGCTTGCTTTCAGGAAAATTCATGAAAAAAATCGAAATTTTTTTCATGAATTTTCGACCAATATATCTACCGTAACATCTTTTAACTTCGACTTAGTGGCCTTGAAAGGAACATTTGAAGCTATGATTGAATTCATTTGTAATCATAAAATTCAAAGATATCCCCAAGTTCTGATTATCAAAACAACGATTATTGCCATTACCTCCATCTTCGAACTCGGTCAGAACAATATCCAAACAAATTTTTTAAGCCGTCATTCAATGAATTTAGAACATTTTTTAGAATTATCGTATTATAACTGAATTTTGAAAAAATTGGAAAATTAAAAAAATGAATCAATGAATTAAATTTTAATGAATGGCGATGGATATGGCTTAGTAGTACCTAAATTTGAATAAAATGATTTAATTCCATGTATTCATTAATGAGAAATTGATATAAATACATGATTGAATGATGTCAATATAGGAGTTAGGATGAATAATGTATAATTACCGTAGCAAATGGCGGCCTGAGGATCCGAAACAAAATAATAAATCCGTTGGCAGAACGCAGTAAGACAATTGTATAAATGAAGGCTCTTTCAGAAAATTTGTAATATTTTTATCACACTTTTACGATGAATTACTAATCACTTTCGCGATCTCCTCCATTGATAATTGTACTGGCGATCAGCTGTCATAGCTGTCAGCAAACATAGGAAAATCTCTTTTTTTTNATTGTATAAATGAAGGCTCTTTCAGAAAATTTGTAATATTTTTATCACACTTACGATGAATTACTAATCACTTTCGCGATCTCCTCCATTGATAATTGTACTGGCGATCAGCTGTCATTTTTGTCGGGAATTGCAAACATAGGAAAATCTCTTTTTTTTCTTTTTTTACGCCCTTAACAAAGGGACAGTTGATGGACAGTACAATTTTCGATTAAGGAGATGGTTGTAAGTAATTCGTAGTTCATCGTAAAAGTGTTTTCAAGGAATTCTTGAAAATTTTACCAAATTTTTCAAAGAACTTCTTTTTGTACAATCATCTGTTGCGCTGTGCTGAAGCATTTAGTATCTCGTCTTTCCTGCCCCCATGGTGGCCACTGACAGGCCGCCATTTGCCACGGTAATAATGTATTATTCATATCTCTTCTATTGAACTCATTCTGCAGTATTAATTAAAAATGCTTCTGCAAAATGTTCAGGGTTTTTTTTACATTTTTTCTATCCAAATTCACAATTTTCAGGTGTCTCTGAGTGACGAGGGATCGAGTTGAAATTTTGAGATAAACATTGAACAAAAAAAGCAATCTAGATAAGGTTTGGCGGATAATGGTGCCGAGCCTTAAGTCGAAGTTAAAAGATGATTACGATACCTATATTGGTTCATTCAATTTTTATAATAATTGTTCAAAATTTGGAATTTTTCTTAAATTTCTCTGAAATTGAGTATTCCAATGATTTCTTCTCATGTGATATTTCAAATTCATTCAAGTATGTTAGATAAAATTCGTTTATTAACAATGATTTATACATGATAAGAGAAAATTATGTGCAAAATAAACATTCAGAAGCATATTGCTAATTTATTAACAAAAATTACTATACTATGCAATATAAGAACAATTTCGCACTTGTTTTGTGTTCATTTGCTAACTTTCCAGAAAAAAATTGGAAACAAAATTCATGCAATCCAATTGTTTGGACTTCAGATTTGGCGTGAAACTGCTCCTATTGGAAATTAGGAACAATAGTTTCCTGAAATTTTACTACTTTCAACAATTTTCCGTGAGGTATGCACGTTATGCACGGATGAAAAAATTTAATAGAAAAACGCAGCAAATTCGCTAAGCCATTCTATTGGATTTCTATGAAATTGTCTATTAGTTTTTCGCAGATTCTATTCAAATATTTAATAAAAAATATTCAGTAGAACAAGTCAATAGAATTTCATTTTTCTATAAATTTTATATTGATATAATATTATATGTTCTATAGAATTTCCTCAAATTTTCCACGTTTTTTGTTTGATTTTCTTGATGAAACGAAAATAAAAATAGAATAAAAATAAAGTGGAAAATTTGAGTCGAGGGAATTCTATCGAAAATATCTAGATAGAATAAGTTGTATAGAATAATCAAATTCTATTGACTCTTTCTTGAGAATATTTTCTGCAGAGCCTTCCAGAAACTAATAGAAAGTTCAACAAAAATCTAATAATAATCTAATAATTTAATAGGATTGTCTATCAAATTCGCTAGGTTTCCCTATTACATTTTCTCGTTTGTTTGGAAATTTGCAGAAGGAAATTTAGAAAGTAATTCTTTAAAAGAATTTGCCCTAATCGTAATAATGGGAGGAAAGTTTAATTTTACTATACAATCCAGCAAAAAGTCTTTTGCAAATTCCTGGCCTTCCTCCACCTCGGGCACCAAGGGCACAGTAATCAGTCAACGAGTAACTTCCTTTATACACCTCGTTCAATACAATAGTTACAGCACTCCTCCAATAGAAACCGTTTCCATCTTTAGTCATCATTTCTACATAAGTAACGAGATTTTTTTTCAGATAAAATCCACACCTCTCAGCTATTTCAACCTAAAATATTAAAAATAATATCATTCGTGGCAAAGCCATGGGTTTGTGGATTCAAAGGCCTGAATATTATTAATTAACCGAACAATCAAAATTAATCTCATTATAGATGGATGGCTAAATCAATTTTCTAATTCTAAGATATTAATTATTAATTTTGTAATTGCCAACCCTTTATTCTTAAGTAAGTATTGAACGAAGGTCCATTGGTATCAAAACTGTGAAGTGCCAATTAAAAAATGATTTGCTTTAGAATGGTAGTTTTTAATCTTCTATTTTGAATATTAAACGTTTAAAATTGCAAAATAATGTAACTGATCCATGTTATGAAATTGTGAGCAACTATTCAACATTCAGAATAAAATTTTTCTATACGAAAATAATCTCTTCGAATATTATTTACGTTGAATTTCACACAAATTACTTTTGCTCCATGAATTATTTAGTAGTAATACCACTAGTGCTTCCAAATTAGCGGATATTTTCCGATAGCTTCGTTGCCTAGGAACGATTGTGTCAAATTTTGCAGGTTTAAAATACCGAATGCGAAGCACGAGGGATTTTTCTGCAAAATTTGACACACTCCTTCCTAGGCAGAGAAGCTTGAGGAAAATATCAGATTAATTTTAAAGCACGAGTGGTATTTGACGGATTATTTTTCCACTCGGATTTCGGCCAAGCAAAATGTAGTGAACAGCATCCGGATACATTTACATAGCCATACATTTACAATCCACTTTTTTGTTTATCTGTCACACAGAATATTAAACGTGAAATGCGTTGAACGATGAAAAACATTTGAAAAGCTACTAGTGAATTTCCGTCGGAAATTTTTTAGAAATTTCGGAAATAAAACTCCTTGACAGCCTTAAATACTGCGCTCTGATTGGCTGAAATCCGAGTGAGAAAAATAATCAATAGAAAATATGATTAACTATTTTTAATTGCATTTTTGTATTACAGTGGAACCAGATGCAGGGAAAAACAGTCCAGTAGGATTTAATATTCTTTCCATCGAATCATCTCACAATGAAAGAGGTTGAATCTAGAATAATGTGTATTACAACTTTCATTCGTCATTTTTCGTAACTTTCACAAGCAAGTTTATTATTTTTTTGTCAACTCTAATCTAATGGGTAATCTTCCATTAGATTTCCAAATCGAGGAGTCGATGCACTCTCGAAAAATAAACCATCGACTGGCGTCCAACATATTTAACATTTCAATTAAAAATAATCCTGTTCTTCATTCTAAATTTTNGGAATCGATGCACTCTCGAAAAATAATCCATCGACTGGCGTCCAACATATTGAACATTTCAATTAAAAATAATCCTATTCTTCATTCTAAATTTTTCCCCGAACGTCACAACTATCTTAATATTATTTTAATACGTGGCACCCAACAAACATAATTTTCCATTTTAAGAAAATGAAAAAAATAAAAACTTCAACTTTATGTTGCCTCCCGATAACTGGACGTTACAACTTATTGCCAGAAACCCATATTTGCAGATGAAAAAATTTAAAATAATAATTTCATGGGTGCAAGGTGGAAAAACCAAAAAATTGCCACAAAAAAAATTTTTTTGACCATTGTAATATTGCGCCAAAGCATTCGCGGATTTTTTTGTTGCAACTTTGAACAATTTTCTTGGAAAAAGCTTTTATGTATTTTTCACGTGAAACCCAAGCGATATTTGTGAAAAACTAATGAAATTTCTTTCAGGAAAAAAATCAATATGGGTGTTTCTCGTGGACTGGACGAGATAAAAGGCTAAAAATATAGGAGAAGACTCATTTCAATATCCCTAAAAGTGATCAAATTTTTAGTCAAATAAAAAATTACACGCTGGATCGTTCGTCGATAATTGTTGGAATATGCCATACATAAATTGCAATAGTTGGTGATTGGAGGAATGCGCGAAATTTTTGACCAATTCAATTTGCCTTTTATGCTTAGAAAATTTTTTGCAGATATTTTTTCTTCAGAAAAGGTCTTTTACAATAAAAAAAACAAGACTTTGCTCATTTCCTATTGCAAACATGGGACAAGTCATTTGTTCTCCAATCAATCTCTCCTCTTACCTTGTCTTCACCGGACTTATAAAATTCTTCAGGCAGTGGTGGGGGTGTGAACATTTCGTTTCCTCTAGCACTATTCGTTTTTTCGCAATTGTACGTCAATGCCTTCAGAAGTATTTTTTGACACATTACCCATCCTCTCGGAACTGCAAATTAGTATATTTCGTAACGAGTACAAAATAGTATATTTCGTAACGGGTGCCAAAAAGTGTTTTTTGGCGCGTGGGAGGTTTATATCACGAGCCGAAGGCGAGCACACAAAAAAACATTTCACGTTGGAAACATTTTTTCACGAGTTACGAACAATATTTTTCATCACAATGTGGCGGAAATTGGACTTTTAGGCACACGGAGCGTGCCGAAAAGTTCACTTTTCGTCACAGCGTGATGAAAAAGTGTTTTTTGGCGTCGTTACGAAATATACTATTAAATATTTAACGTCGCAAATCACGTACAAATTCAAGTTTCAAAAGAAAAAATTTTGAAGTTTGAGAACTCACTCGGATTTGGCAGCAACTTTGCGAGCCTTTGAGCTGCTTTGTCAATATTCTTGTTGTCAGAGGTTTCCATACAGAGATTACTTTCAAGAGACTTCTCATCAGACGAATGAACCCCCTCTCCATCGCTATAATCGTCAGGCATATCAGAATCGTCTTGCGAACTCGATGATTCGGCTTTTTCAATACTCTGCGACTGCACTGATGTAGCTGAGGTGGAAATATTTGGCAGATCTCGTGTTTCATGCCGCTCTTCATTTTTATTTTCACCCTTGGCCTGATCTTGACAATTTTCTGAATTTTTATCAATTATTGACCCCAAAAACCCCATATGCTTCGGTGATTCAACAATCACATCTGTCTCTTGATTGAGGCTATGGGTTTCAACTCCTAAAGAACGCTGTTCGATTGCTGAACTCTGTTGTGTCTTGAAAGGCGAAGTAGTTTTTGAGTTCCTGTTCTGAACAAATTCATCAATTCTGTAGAGGGGATTTCGAACTTTTTGCAAATCTGTGAATACCTTGTCCTGTGTATTATCACCAGTTTCAATCATAGGGAATTCTGAAGGAAGAGGTCGACAATTGCAATAATTCATATTATCCGGGTCAGCCTGCTGTGGTGGTGGATAGTGGTGACCATAATACCCCATCGACTGAAACGGATAAGGCTCTGATGATATAGAAGATTGTGACCAGGGATACGAAGTTGGATAAGCGTCCATAGGGTGACTGAATGATAGAAAAGGTGAAGTGGATCGAGAATGCTCCTGCCAAGGCGGTGCGGTACGACTAGAAAGGGGATTCCCCTGATTCTGCGAATTACAAGAACGACTGTCGCCCTGACCTTGAACTCCAATCATGTTTGCGCTTTGTGACGGCCAATTTTTGCATGGTCTTTCATCTTGTCCATTTCTAACATATCTATAAGAATCTTGATTACCGCAATTTGAGGCTGTTGTCATCGTCGCGGGATGAATTTGAGATTTCTGTGGAGGGCATTTGTCAGGATGATATTTCGAACTCTTGGACTTCACGTGTCGTTTTTTACCACATGAGGTGTACTTGTGGTGAGCATCCAGACTGGAAGCACTTCTTTGAAAGAAGCGTTCCTTCAATACATGTGGTGATTGAGATGGCATCAATATCTGGGACTGAGAAGCTGAATATTGATGAGATGAAGTCATAGTTGTTGATGCTACTGGTGCTGATCGACAGCTGTCAACTTTGTGGACATTAAAATTATTCCTTCCAGGTTGAGGGTATCTACCTCTATTTTCATCGCTATTTTTGCCCTCTGTATCATCTTTACGAGGCTTTTTGATGAGTGGAGCATCATCAGTTGTAAAAATTGGCAAATCATTCAGGATCTTGGTAGCAATCTTTCTCTGGTTTGATTTCCTTATGGTTTGAACCAATTTTTCCTGATGAGACCGTTCTTGCTGGTCAGAAATTGTTGCACTGGAGAATAATTTAGTAGAAGAATCTTTAATTGCTCCATCCGCAGCCAAGAATAATTTTTCTAGTTCGTCTCGATTTTCTAAAAAATTCTCCCAACACAAATTAATTGTTCATTAAAATATATCGAAATTAAGATGACACAATCGGTTGAGGAATTTAACCATTTTTTTTGTACTTAAGATGTTCCAGAATTTTCTTCTAACATTTTTCTATTAATATATTCATCGCACATATTTACCGGACACATGTGAAATGACAAGAAATCTTCCATATGTCAGAGCCGATGATAGCCGGATTTTCATCAATTTTATGACAACTGATGAAAACGTTGTGTAGAAAAATGGAATTGTATCATGTTTTTGGTTTAAAATAACTCCTTTAGAACTTTTTCTACAAAAGAATTTGTCCAATATATTGAAATCTTGTACATCATATTAGTAAAAAACATGAAAAGATGTGAACAATTTCCGACAAATAAATGTTATGCACCTAATTCTGATTTGCTTATGGAAATGGCTGCGGAACGTTTATAATTTTTTTTTGCATTTTTCTTTCCAATGATTCCTTATTGAGATAAATTAAATGAAAAGCAAAAAGATTAAAACACATGTACATACCTGAAATGCGGATGACTTTGCCACTGTGGAAAGATGTGTTATTCTTGTCATCCTGCCACTTCAATGTCGTAACGCAGCCCTCACTTTGGTCTGCTTTTTTTATTTTGTTTAGTTCAATTACATTGCTATCGTGAGTTTCAATCCACCAAATTAGTGCCCACTTTTTCTTCGATCTTGGCATTCTCGAAACTTCTATACACTGGAGGATGCAATATTACGCGTAAATTGAGGTTATAATTTGCGTCACTGGTATTTTTTCGCAAATGGACACCACGTGAGATAATAAACGTTTTGAGAAATGAAAAAAAAGGATTGATAGTTAGATATAATCGAATAGTCTGAATGCTGCTCTCAAATAAGAAAATGTTGATGAGAAAATATTAGAAATTTTAATGCAAATACAACCGTGCATACGGATTTGAAATACGTGAAAATGAAATGAATCGACGAGCACTGTGCAACGAGGAACGGAGGAACCGACTATTCACATTTTCATCGTTCCATGCGTCCAACTAGTAAATGCTGGATATTATTGATGACAATGTTGTGATCGTCGTAGCCAATTATTTNCACTGTGCAACGAGGAACGGAGGATCCGACTATTCACATTTCCATCGTTCCATGCGTCCAACTAGTAAATGCTGGATATTATTGATGACAATGTTGTGATCGTCGTAGCCAATTATTTGGGAAATATCAAGACACTCTAAAACTAACGATTAAAACGTGATCAAGGCCATAATTCGGTCAATTAACTCATACGCTGCTCGTCCTTTGAATTGTCTGTTATTATATCCCCGAGTGAGAGAGAATAAATAGATTCTCACACGTCAAATTGGAGGCCAGCATTTCTTATTACAAGAGAGAATCTCATCAAGATGTCCCGCAAACCGTTGGACCATCTATCTCAAAAGAGAAAACGGCAAAAATTTCGAGTATTATTACAAGAGGATGGCGAAAGGAATGGTGACAACAGAGTCTCAGCTGAATTGAGAATATTAAATGACTACTAAGTAAATTCTTAAGGATTATTTCTTCCTCTGAGTAATATGGTTTATATATTGTAAATATTAAATGTTGAATTTATTGCAAAAAGAAGTCGCATTGGATTCATGTGACCCAGTACACATATTAGGATTTCATAAATATTCGGTGTNGAGAGAATCTCATCAAGATGTCCCGCAAACCGTTGGACCATCTCAAAAGAGAAAACGGCAAAAATTTCGAGTATTATTACAAGAGGATGGCGAAAGGAATGGTGACAACAGAGTCTCAGCTGAATTGAGAATATTAAATGACCAGTAAGTAAATTCTTAAGGAGTATTTCTTCCTCTGAGTAATATGGTTTATATATTGTAAATATTAAATGTTGAATTTATTGCAAAAAGAAGTCGCATTGGATTCATGTGACCCAGTACACATATTAGGATTTCATAAATATTCGGTGTGTATGAGCGAGTCCACCACTTCTGCCTATATTTTGCTGCAAAAGTGTAGATATAGATTCAAAACAATAAGAATGAGCGCAACTGGAGCTCTCTAACTTAATTATTGGTGGAAAAGTTGAAGATTGAACAATTGAAGACTATGATTTCATTTGCTTCTACATTAAAATTTATGTAATAAACTCATCAGCGCGATAGATGAAGGCACCAACGATTTTAAAATTTCAATGCGGTCTCTTTTTAAATTTCTGGTGGAGAATTTCATTAATTTTTAACAAATTCTTTTGTAGGGAAATCAATTCACAAACAATTTCAAATTTAAATTTTAAGAACGAACCGCCAAGAATGATTAAAAACTGCCATCTGCAAATCCATGCTCATAAATCAATTCCGCAAATCTATATTATCGACAACTTTATATCATTTTATATGGGCGTGTCCCATCTNGTCAGCGCGATAGATGAAGGCACCAACGATTTTAGAATTTCAATGCGGTCTCTTTTTAAATTTCTGGTGGAGAATTTCATTAAT